CATTTTATATGTAAATTTATATTGGAAATTTCATCGATCGTCATTTCCCAGCTAACCGGACGCCGTTTTTTTTCGATCATACGGTATCATGCCAGTGAATTTCCTTTCATCATCTTCTTATTATTCATTATTAGTTATTCTTTTATATACATAATACATTTACCTATTTATCCATACAAATACATAATACATTTTTATCCATAATATTCTGTATATTATCATAAACAAATACTGTTTATACCCAAATGATTTGCAAAGAACTAACTAAAAGTCTCGCCGCTAATAATTTGATATTTCACTGATCACTCCTTTAATCCGATCGATTCAGATGGATTGAGAAGCATTGGCCCGTAATTAGACGCTATATAAATCCAGTTTGATTTAATTCAGCGGGGATATTTGGGTCCGTAGACCGTTAAACAGTATAATTCGGGCAATAAAGACTTTGTCGTGTCAAATGAGTTTTGGAGGTTAATCGAAGGTTACGGCTATAAACACCAGATATATACCGGCAACTGCCTGATACTTTTGCGTTAATTCATAGACTTTAATTATTGCACAAATTACATTTGAAGGGTACGGGGAATAACCGACGATGTCACAAAACTGACTTTTACAGAGAAAGCTGATTTAATGTTGTCAAATACCATGTTAAAGATACAAAAAATATTACTGAATGCGTTATTATTCGGACATTGTTTGTTATATTCAATTACAATTTAGCATGTTTAGCTTAGGACTAGGTATTCTCAACAGATTAAGTTGATTACATAAAAATTCCTATAAAATGGACATCGTCGGTTTTTTTCCTTACCCATTTATGGTTTAACAAATTTCTAGTCAAAATTTTACGCATATTTTCAAAGTAATCTTAAATACTAGTTTTTACTCCATTAAATATATTTATTTCTTTTGAATTGCTTCAAAATAATAGAAAAAACAAATGTTATTATAGAATCTGATCACGAAGTGATTTTATTCTCTTATCTTGTACATTTATCTTAAGATATCGTTACTTTTATTGGTGGTGGTGATCTTACTATTGAAAAAGTTCCTTGGGTTGTAATTTATTGCATTTCTTACAATGTGTTAATGTCCGCAGTTTAGTGTAATCTTTATACATATTACTTTTCATCATCTTTGTGTGGAAACATAAATTGCATCGCATAAATCTACATTCCCTGTAGCACCTAATACATGGTATTATACTACATACTTCATCGTATTTTTTGTCCTGTTGTAGATGAAATAGAAAGTTTGAATAAAGAATAAAATTTTATAAGAAAATCATACCATAACATTCATGTTCAGATTATGGCAGTAAATTAAGTAAAATTAATTGGACATTTCATAAAATATTAAATGTTAATGCTGAAAGGATTAAGCTACTTTTAATTATACCGTATATTTGAAGAAGCTTATGCAATTTATTACAGTGTTAGACTGCTGAAAAGACGAACATACCAAAATAATGTCAAAATCTCTTTTTGCTAGGAAATATAGTACATAAAAATTTAGGAAATAACAGCGAATTTATTAATTTAATAGAGATACAATATAAATTCCAGTAATAATAGTGAGTTTATTTTTTGTGACTATTCAAATTTTGATTTTACTTCTAATGCCATTAATATAAGACCATATGTATATGTATTGAAAAAAAATCTTATTAGTAAATTTTTTTCCTCCTCTTACTGGGCAGGTTTTTGTTTTTAGAAAGCTCGATAACTCTAATTATCGAGGTCTCTTCGATATATTCGAACCAGAAGTTTTACTAAGCTGCTCTAAGATGTAAAATACGATTGAAAAAAATCAGTAGCATTAGCAAAAATCAAAAGCATTAGTGAAAAACTACAAGAGATAAAAAATACCAAAAAATGGAACACATACGGAATATATATGGTATATGGTATATGAAATACATATAAATGGTTGACGAGGTTAGACTAGTGTCCTTAAAAGCAACTATTATTAATAACTTTTACTTGTTACTTATACACTTTGTTGCATCGCCGACTAGGACATAGGTAAACTTTAAAAAGTCCCATGTAAACTTTAAAAATGATGAATAAGTTTTCTCCATTTTGTTTTACAGAAAAATGTATTTGAAACTCTTTACAGAACTCCTTACTTAAAATGAAGCATAATGCTCCTTTTTAATCATTTATACGAATTCGTTGCTGAGTTATGAGAGACACAAAAATACTAAATTCATTAAAAAAATAATATGGTCCTGAATAGAATAACAAACATGCCGACTGATGCCGACTTCCAATTCAGTCTTTAAATGTCAAATTGACTTTATTGTTGTCAAATGTCATAATATGTCATATTGACTTTATACGTGCTAAATATAATTTGTAAATATGAATAACACAACTAAAGAAAAAAAAATAGTTTAGTGGTATTATTGACGAAAAAATCTGCAGGCTATAAAGGATTTATTTTCTGTATATTTTCCCAATATGCCAGATCAGTTATTGAAGACTATAATCCCTCTAGTGTACCCTCGGAGGAAGAACTGTTGTCAGAGGAGGATGGGAAATACCCTGTCCCCTCTACAACAGGGGCATGATAGGTCATAGATTGTGTGATGACTCAAGGAAGGGGGGCACACAATAGATCTTTAAGGTCGCAGTGATTAACCCCCCTCTTACTCATTCTACATTCTACATCGAGTTAGTTATTAGAAAAAAAAACATTAATAGATAAATAATATCTAATAAATATGTTTAAAATAAATAATCAATATTTATCCTTTGTAAAATGACAGAAAATTTAGAATTTACAGACATAAACATGTCAGTAATACTATAGAGATACTTCTTTTATGCTCTTTTACCTCGTAAATAATTATTAAGTTTTTTAAAACAAAAATTCTAGTTCTTATTATTTAAATTTATTTGTATTCTAGATGCCATTAATTACGTCTATTCCATGCTAATTCAAGAATACGTACAAATTAAGTTTTAATTTAATAATTGAAAATAATAATTAGAAATATGAAATATGTGATAAGAGTTATTAATACCTAATTTAAATACAGAATATGTAATTATTTTATACTCATTTAAGTACAAAAAGATTATAATTGTTTTAACCTACTAACCTGTATTTAATTGTGATATCAATAAATATATGTGCTTTTTGGAAAACCAAGTATATCAGAGCATACCATATTTAATTTCGTATTCAAAACGTGTATAAATAAATAAATATGAAATATTAATTTAAAATTAATTAAATAAGTTTTATCAAACGTGAAACATCAAAACGTTTCTCTCTAATCTGAAAACTCATTTAAATACTGCTATCTGAACGCAGATATCCACTTTAAAACGTCGTAGCATGCAAGGGGCATATCTGGAAAAGACTTCCTGCCGTTCCCTTATACCTTTGGGACCGAAACTGTTCACTTCCAACGTTTATAACTTTTATAAATGCATGCAAGACGCCATTACGGTGTGTTTGAGGTCCAAAGGGCGTTGACTTTACGGTTTCGTGCTTTCGAAGTGCTAAATTACTCTATAAACAAATTTACACTAGCTAGGGTAGTGTCAAGATTAATCTGTTAACTTCAAATTAATTGAATTCACTAAAGGTTACTACAATAAAATCACTAAAATTTTATAAAAATAATTTGTTATTGTACACTAAAATTAAAATATCAATATAAGTATTTTTCTTTACTAAGAGGCAAGGTAAACTAGCTAATAATAAGTAACTAACAGTAATAACAACTAATAAACAGTAATACTGACCGCTTCAAAAGATGTCAATGTGAATTTATTATTGACCAACCAATAGGTAAAATCCTAGAGATCGAATTATTGACCAAAAGTAACCTAAATAAGGACCGATGTTGTACCGCATATTTGTTTTAAAAATAAATGTATATAACTATTTAGTTATATACATTTATTTTCATGGTCATTATTTGATCATTATTTGACCCATGTGTAGTTTACTGTATAGTTTATTTTTCAATAAATTAAAATATTTAAAAATTTTCACCTCGAGGCAAAATAAAATTAATATTGCAATAAACCAATTACTGACCGGTGTAGGTCAATAATTGGATTTTGTGGGGTTAAATCGATTTAAATACTGACCACAAATTATTTTATATAAACTATATAAAATATTCAGTAAAAAGTGTAGAAACATAAAAAATAAACCCTTATTAATGTCTAGAAACTAAAATATAGAAGTAATAAGCTTATCCTAATTGTATTTTCCACCAACTATCAGAGCACGATCTTAAGACCTTCGACACCTACAAGCAATTAAACGGGCCGATTTCCCGCTGCCCTTTGATTCATATAAAAAAAGCAGCACATTTAATAAAATTAAATATAAAAATTATGTGAAAAATAAAAGCCTTAAATATGTATGTAAAACCAAGATAGAAATATTTAATTGTTTATGAATGTTTTAATATTCTTATTTAAACAATATAAGAGGCAAAATCGGTCAATATTTGGCGATCGGTCACTATTAAACGATTTTAATACATTACAATACAACTTTGTAAGTTAAAATATAAGCAAGCAACTTTTAATTATATTAGCACAGATAACACATAATCCAGATGGCTCCTTACGTGTTAAAAATTGTCACCCTAATTTCACTCCAATTTGGAAAAATATTGGAGTGGCGTTTGAATAATCTGAAATTTTTAGATTTCTTTTCTAACTTTTTTGGGAGGTTTTGCTTCTCTTGCACAGATGTCGCTTGCACTTCAGTTGCGTGGTTGCCAAACGTTATATCGAAATATATTTCATTTCATTATGAATATATAAAATTAAAGGTATACAAAATTAAAAGATTATGTAATTTATAAACATGAAATAGATATGTTAAATTAATATATAAATATTTAACTTAATACGTTCATTATTATTTTATTAATCTATCGTCACACGTCATTTACCAGTTCCCTAATTGCGAAAAAGTTCATATGACATTAACCTCAAAAATGATCTTTGAAAACAAACAACAACAAACAGAGCAAGAAATGAACAAATAACTACATAATGACTGATAATGATAAGTGATAATAATAACTTTAATGATATGAAGGCTGATGAAGGTAATTATAAACATTATTTTGAGTTTGTTTAATAAAATATAGGATACAATATAACTAAGCAAAATCAAACAGTTTTAGACAACCAATACAAGATTTTAGAACTTGACATCGTGATAAACAAATTGTACATTCAGGAACTCGTTTAAATATTATAGGTAAGTAATATTTTCACAAAACTAAACATTTTAGCATAAAATCACAGATAATATATAGAATATTACCTATGATAAAATGTTAAATACTGATGTATATTTATTCTAATCACATTTAAATTTAAACTCAAAATTTTCATAAAAAGAAAATGATAATTTTTCGTAAATATAAAGTAAATAATATTACATATTTCAGGTTGATTGACGAATACTCTACAGTTGATTAGAGCCCATGATGATGCGAAGATAATTAATATCACCTAACTTCAAGAAACCAGCGTAAAGAAGTTTACATTCACAACTCATCTAACCATTATAGGTAATACTTTACAAAATTAGTCATTTTTGATTATAATATTAAGGTACTTAGGTACATTTTTATCTTCTAGATCAGTAGTGTCGTCATAGTTTAAATGAACTCACAGATAGCAATGGGGCACTGCACCGAAGCAGTATTACAAAATATGTGAAATAAAACTGTAATACAAATTGCTCTATAAAATTTAATAGAAATAAATTTATTTATGAAAATTAAGTTATGAAGTTTTATTTTTCCTAGGAAAAAAATAACATTTATATTTTGATCAATTTAGATTACAGTTAAAAAAAATATGTGTTAGAATAACATATTTTTAATAAAATTGCAGCTTCTAATTTTTATACTTTTTTGCTTTTATATCAATAAGAACTAACGTAAGGAACAATTCATATTTATACTATGAAAACACATGCATATTTTTTGATGTTTTTAAAATCAGTGACTGATGTTGAAATATACTACACCTATTATTCTTATTAACTAACTTTAATTACAAACTTACACACTATTGTCATTGGAAATAAATTAATTTGGATATTCTATTTGTTTAGAAACTTTTTTACCTATTGTAGTTTTTTAAAACCTACTTGATTTAAAACAAAAAAATGTAACCTGTTGTGACAAAATAAGGTCTTTTTTACTAGAAAACAATCTAGTGAGCTTTTCTAATAATACTTTATTTGATATACCATATGATCGAAAAAACGGCGTCAGCGATGGCTATGAAATGAAGATCGCTGTCATTTTAAATGTAAATTGATATGGGAAATGTCATCGATTGCCATTTCCCAGCCAACTGGACGCCGTTTTTTTTTGATCATACGGTATAATATGTATTCCTATCTGTTAATCTTTTTATTTTAAGGAAGATTTAGGAAGGGTAGCTTAAAACATGTTTGTCGATCAATTATCTTTATATGTCGTTTGTAAAAATATTTTACAGTAGTAGAAAATAAAACTGTTTTTAAGGCGAACAGCTTCTTTGCTAAAATATTTTTTTGGTCCCAATACATAATGATTTACATTTTTTTTTAACTTCAAATAATGAATTTAATGGAAAAATTGCAAGTCATAAAAACGTTCTAAATATACAAATCTAACCATTTTTTCCATACCGTTGCTCCAGTTTTTGTCAAATTAACGAATATTAGAAATAGTTTATTTCAACCTCTTCAGCTTATTTTAAAAATGTTGACAAATAACAAAGAATACACCCCTTAAAGTTTCGCATTTGTCTTGATATACTCTGTATGAGACAACAGTAAATAACTTGTAATATAACTTCGAAATATAAATTTGAAATTAAAATAGTGATTTGTTCAAAAGTGATTTACGTTTTATTAATTTTGATTTTTTTTTATTAAAGTGATTTACGTTTTTTATTAATTGAAACGTTTAAAATTTGAATATGCGTTCAAAATTTTTTTTTATAATAAATTTGTTTATTATAAATAATTTTATAATAAAAATATGACCGAATAATACAGGAACGAACCATATGCGACAAAGATAGAAGATATAGATATGTCGTTACTGTCTTTTGTTTTTAATGGATATTTTAAAAGCCGGGTAAGATATGGTAATCTGTGATGGTAATATACTATATACCTGTGACTGTCTTTGATTACAACTGTGTGATTAGTGATAATTATTATTAAAATGTCTGGTAATAAGTGTCAATTTTACAATTGTGGGATTTCTCGGAAATCAGGTGTACATATGTTTAAGTTTCATACGTCAAGAGATCCTAATTTATGTACAAAGTGGATAGAAAATTGTGAGTTCATTCATATAGATTTTTTTTGCACATTTTGTATGTAAAAATACGGCGTTAAGTTACCTTAGAAATGGTGATCGATGGCTTTTACCATATACCGTATGATCGAAAAAAAAACGGCGTCAGCGATGGCTATGAAATGAAGATCGCTGTCATTTGATATGTAAAATTATATGGGGAATGTCATCGATTGTCATTTCCAAACGGACGCCGTTTTTTTTTCGATCGTACGGTATAATTTAACACATTAAGAGTTGTCCATCGTTATATTTCTATATCTATGCAAAGTTTACGATGGATAAATCAAGTAATATTAAGTGGATGCAAATTATAAATGAATCAGTGAATATAAACTGTTATAAATTATAAGTAGGTAATGCAGTTAGTGAATATACCGTACGATAGAAAAAAAGGCGTGGGAGTGGGCTTGGAAATGAAGATCGCTGTCGTTTAATAGGTATGTAAAATTATATGATAAATCTTATCGATTGTCACTTCCAAATCAACATGACATGCATCTGTACATCATTAATCTCACGACTAGAGTTTCCTGAAATCCCGAACTCCCAGGATCCCGGCGGCGTGTATGTTTATCTCCGAAATCCCGATATTAAATTCCGGGATCCCTTCATCTTAAAAAAATCATCCCTTAATTCTTATGGGGCGAATGCCTAAAATTCGCTTCTGAGTACTCACTTTCATCACTTGAGGAACCTCAAGTGATGAATGTGTAAATTTTCATACTTCTAGGACAGATATTTTTCAGAACGTTCACCCCTCATTTCACCCCCTTAGAGGGAAAATTTCGAAAAATTGCCTCTTAGTGCTAAATTACCTTATATAAGGAAGGTCTGCGAAGAATTTTATACTTCTAAAACCGATTTTAACAAATTTTTGTACATATTTTCATCCCTTATTTCTTAAGGGATGAATGCCCAAAATTCGCTTCTGAGTATAACTTTCATCACTTGATGAACCTCTGTGCAAATTTTCATACTTCTAGGACAGATTTTTTTCAGAACGTTCACCCTTCATTTCACCCCCTTAGAGGGCAAATTTCCTAAAATTGCCTCTTAGTGCTAAATTAAGTTACATCAGAAACGTCTACGCAGAATTTCATACTTCTAAAACCGATTTTAACAAATTTTTATACCAATTGTCATCCCTTATTTCTTATGGGATGAATGTCCAAAATTCGCTTCTGAGTACTCACTTTCGTCACTTAATTAACAATTTCCAAATTTCAAACTCCTCGGACTAATTTTAAAAAAATATGCAAAATTTCACCCCCAGTTTCACCCCTTAGGAGAAGAATTTCCTAAAATCGCTTTGAAATGTTAAGTTACGCTACTTAAGGCACCTCTGTGCAAAATTTCGTAGTCCTAGGACATGCTTTTTTTGTATACAAAAGTACCCCTCATATCACCCCTTTAAAGAGCGAATTTCCAAAAATTGCGCCTTAGTGTTCAATTACGTCAATCAAGGAGCACTCGTGAAAAATTTCATATTCTTAAACCAGATTTTAACAAATTTTTATGCGGCCTTTCATCCCTAATTTCACCCCCATAGCGGTCGAATTTTCAAAAAATCCTTTCTTAGTGCTCATTTACATCACTTAAGGAACCTATGTGCCAAATTTTATTTATTACTATATAGATAACCTTTACCCTTATTTTCAGCTAATGAATATTAAGAGACAAATAATAAAAATAAAATCTAAATTATAAATTTCATGGCTATAAATAGCATACATATGCATCTAGAAATTCTGACTTTCAAACATCCACTGCGACTAGTATTTTCATATCCAATTGTCTAGTATTAAAGTCCGAATATACATTTTCCTGGGTTTGACCGGGAATTTGCTTATAAATGTGAACAACCGGCTACGTCGCTTCACATCGCGTGGCCGTGGCTTGACTCCAAATTCCTTCGTTTTAAAAATATTATTAGATTGGGCTATAGGCGCCCTCTGTGTCATTAATAGGGAACTGTCTCATCGAAAACATGCTGTTCCGTAAGCAATAGCCATCTGGATTATGTGTTATCTGTGATATTAGTTTTATCTCACTATCTCAGACAAAATAGATCTTGCTTTCTGGAAGTTAATACTAAATTTAGCATTGTTACACAATTTATGTCTGGAGATTTAAATAATTGGAATACTACGCTCAAATTAATTAACACGTATTTTTTTGTAAATACAGGGTGTCCCACAAGTAAGTGCAATTATTTTAACTGGTAATATAGTAATATAGTTCGACGCCAGAAACGCCCTTGAGTTTTTTTTCGAAAAAAAAATGTGTAAAAATGTGTGTTATGTTTTTCTTGATATTTTTCGGTTTGGTTTGGTTGGCTTTTGAGAACTTTTCTGGTCAGTTTTCGTAAATTTGTTTATTGTACCTGGAAAGAATGAAATCTTGCCATCTACTACGTTATCCACATTTTGTATGTTTATAAGTTACAAGTTCACATTTTTAAATTTCGACAAAAAAAAATCCTTAAATTAATTTTATTTATTGTAGATTTTTTAATTATTGTAGTTTACTATGAGGTGTAGTGCCAAGGTCTACTATTTATTATACTATATACTATAATACTATACTATATACTATAATGATGCTGATCCAGTTGCGTACAAAGCCTATAAACACCAACCTGATACAGGTATATGCTCCCACAGCCGACAGCGATGAAGAAACTATAGAGAAGTTCTACTCAGACCTAAACGAGCTAACTAAAAAGTTGAAGAAACATGAAATTAACGTGATAATGGGGGATTTCAACGCTAAGGTTGGCAAGGGAAGGATCGAGAATACTGTTGGTGGCTTCGGACTGGGAGATAGGAATGAGAGAGGGGAACGACTCATAGAGTTTTGTCAGGAGAAAGATTTAGTTATTGCGAATACTTTTTATGAGCTACCACCTCGACGACTCTATACTTGGACATCACCAAGAAGTAGCAAAGAGAAGATCATAAGGAATCAAATTGATTTCATTTGTGTCAACAGACGGTTTAGGAATAGCATTGAGAGTGCTAAAACCTACCCAGGTGCAGATGCGGACACTGACCACGAATTGCTTGTAGCCAACGTAAAAGTGAGACTAAGGAAGCTGCAAAGGATAATAAAACCGAAGATAATAAACACAGAAAAGCTCAAACAACAGCAGTATCAGAAGGAGTTTAACGACTCAATAGCAAGTGAGTTTTTGGAAGCATCAGCGACAAATATCGACATGGCCTGGGACCAAATCAAATCTACAATGTTGACTGCCGCGGACCAAGTTGTAGGCAGAAGAGAACATAATACGAAAAACCCCTGGATGACACAGGAAATCATAAACCTTATAGAGGAAAAGCGTAAATACAAAAACACTGACCCGCAAAAATATAAACAATCAAAAAGACAAATAGAACACCGCATAAGAAAAGCCAAAGAGACATGGA